CTTTTGCATAAAGCTGCCGTGCATGCTTCATGTCTGTTTACGTCGCTCGCGTTGCTTATCGCCGTGTAATCAATTGCGCCGGAAAAAACAGTGCTGTGCAAAACAACAAGCTATCAGATGAGACTATTACGATATTCCACGACACGTCATTCCGCGACAATTTCAGGAAGAGAGAAAGAGAGTATGAGCGAGCAGATGCGCGATTCTATCGTTCGTCATGTGGAATCGAGACCGCGATCGAACTCCTCGTCCCTATAGACGGCGGTTTCGACGGAGTCTCCGTCGAACATCTCGTTCGATCTATTTCCGCGAATAACGCCGCGAATAAAGCCCGCTGATGCGCTTATAGCGCGTCTATAGAAAGCGCTAGGCGCAAGGTGAATGCTAAAACATTCCAAGTTCACGTGTATCCGTCCCAGACCTAGCGAGCCACTTTCCGAGCTTGTGGCGATCTTCGACCGGCTCGAGTTTCCCGCGGCGGAAATGTCGCCGTCTAATTCCGCCATTTTCACTGACGTTAAACGCTCCGTTATCTTTCCTTCCCTTCTTTTTGTTGAACTTCGTGCGATGTTTTTCCCAACATTATCCATGATACAATGAGCTTTATCTCGACGGAAGGGGAGTGCGAGGAGCGTTCCAGACGATATTGATGTGTGATATTGAGTGTGTAATATGTTGATATCAGCTGCAATTGTCGCACGCTTGATCGCCGAAGCTGATACGAACGGGGAGAGATTGTGTATTTATCTGATGAAGTTATTCTCTTCCTCTTTCTGCAGCTTGAAAATTCCAAGCGAGCTTGCGTTAATGGCATAGAAGGTTTCCGATCGAATATCGAGCGTCAAGTAATTGTAATTATTTACAGAATTTATTGTCGAGTGCCTCTTCAGAATTTATCCTTTCGATCCTCTCAGTCAGGGTGTTCTATCTGCGGCACGAACATCCCAAACGAGTTTAGATTGGCGGCGTGATGAATTTCTGATCGAATATCGAGCGTTGAATGGACGTAATTGCTTGCGTCCTATCGAGATTTCCTATTCAACTTAAAATGCACCGTTCCAATTCTGGACGTCAATTACAGATTTCGCCGAGGGATATTGTCCGATAGGCTTTTAAGTACCCGACATACGGGCTAGCGAGGAACGACGCACTAAGATCGACCGTCTATGTGCACGCAAAAAAATTATTTAAAAATTAACAAATATTTATTAGATGGCTATCATTAACTTATTTACTTAAATTGAAATTCTTTTCATTTAAACCGGGTATTGTTTATTTAAGTCGAGTAAATTTAAATAAAGAGGATTTTGATTTACGCTCCTGGCTCCTCGAATCGTCTATCTCTTTTTAATGAAGTCAGAAATAAAAAAATGAATTCTAAAAATTCTTGCGAAATACGTTGAAATAAAAATATACATCCATAAAGTAAAAATTCTTGTGAAATACGTTGAAATAAAAATATGTATCCATAAAGTAACACTTGCAATTAATTAAACAAAAAACTTGTAAGATAGCCGTGCATTCTTATTTTTCTCTAACAATCAATAATTCGTAAATTAACATTGACATACAATTTATCTTCTTACTTGTTTCTTCGCCTATTTCTATTTAAGTTAATTTACAATAAATTATTAATTGTTAGCGCAACAAAGGAATGTACGAAATATCTTATAAATTTATTTAATTGATTGCAAGTGTCACTTTATGGATACATATTTTTATTTCAACGTATTTCACAAGAATTTTTAGCATGCATTTTCTCGCTTTTGACGTTATTAAAGAGATAAACAAATATTTATTAGATCGATACTATTAATATATTTACTTAAATCGTAATTCTCTTCATTTAAACCGAGTATTGTTTATTTAAGTCGAGTAAATTTAAATAAAGAGAATTTTGATTTACGCTCCTGGCTCCTCGAATCGTCTATCTCTTTTTAATGAAGTCAGAAACAAAAAAATGAATTCTAAAAATTCTTGCGAAATACGTTGAAATAAAAATATACATCCATAAAGTAAAAATTCTTGTGAAATACGTTGAAATAAAAATATGTATCCATAAAGTAACACTTGCAATTAATTAAACAAAAAACTTGTAAGATAGCCGTGCATTCTTATTTTTCTCTAACAATCAATAATTCGTAAATTAACATTGACATACAATTTATCTTCTTACTTATTTCTTCGCCTATTTCTATTTAAGTTAATTTACAATAAATTATTAATTGTTAGAGCAACAAAGGAATGTACGAAATATCTTATAAATTTATTTAATTGATTGCAAGTGTCACTTTATGGATACATATTTTTATTTCAACGTATTTCACAAGAATTTTTAGCATGCATTTTCTCGCTTTTGACATTATTAAAGAGATAAACAAATATTTATTAGATCGATACTATTAATATATTTACTTAAATCGTAATTCTCTTCATTTAAATTTTAGTATTGTTTATTTAAGTCGAGTAAATTTAAATAAAGAGGATTTTGATTTACACTCCTGGCTCCTCGAATCGTCTATCTTTTTTTAATGACATCAGAAACGAGAAAATGCATGTTAAAAATTTTTGCGAAATACGTTAAAATAAAAAAATATATCTATAAAGTAACACTTGCAATCGATTAAACAAATTTATAAGATATTCCGTGCACTTTCCTTTTGCTCTAACAATCAATAATTTGTCGTAAATTAACATGATATACAATTCATCTTTTTACTTATTTCTTCACCTATTACTACTTAAGTTAATTTACAATAAATTCCCAGTAAACATGCATGTCTAAAAGATGTCGAAAGATATCTAAAAGATATTATATGCAACATTTTGTTGCATAAGACGTCTTGTAGATATCATTTCGACATCTTTTAGACATGCATGTTTACTGGGTTATTGATTGTTGGAGCAAAAAAGGAGTGCACGAAATATCTTAAAAATTTATTTAATTGATTGCGAGTGTTACTTTATAGATATATATTTTTATTTCAACGTATTTCGCAAGAATTTTTGGCATACATTTTCTCGCTTCTGACGTCATTAAAGAGATAAACAATACGAGGGGCTGGAAACCTTAAAACGAGTAAATTTAAATAAAAAGAATTTTGATTTATGTAAATATGTTAAAGGTACCTGCCTAAAAAATATTTGTTAATTTTTAGATATTTTTTCTCATTAAGAAAATTACTATTTGGAGCGTAATTTGCACGTTACACAACGCACTTAATCCACTTCACACGTCCAGCTGAGATGAGAAGGCCTTTTCAGCAACTTCGTCGATCTCGCTACGCACAAAAAAGGCCGCCAAGTGAATTGTAAATTGCACACGATGCGTGGCTCGCGTAAACGCATGATGCGCGATCTATTTTGGACAACGTGGCAACATATAGCTACTATATTTTCGTTGGCAGCCTAAATATTCGGCCGGGTATACAAAGCGAACGACTTTGGCGTCTACATACGTCGGATATCAGCGAGGATCGTTTGATCGGACGGCGCGAAAGGCCGGCGCATTTCGCGCCTGAATTTGCGGCTCTCAAATTCACTCGCGGAAGAAATGCCTTTGAACGAGAAAGAGGAGACTTAGCCCTGTTCTTTGTAGCTGCACTGTTGAACTGATGCAATATATTGAAGTGGGGCAAATATACGTTTTCTCTAACTTAGCTGCATTCGGCATTGTAAATCGAAGACGTCGGATCGCTTTTTTACCTCGAAAATGCACAGAAGTGAAAGAGATACGAGATCTTTTTTATTTCTATGTATCTTCGAGATGAAAGAGCAATCGATTAAATAAATCTGTGAAATATCACGTGCATTTCTCTTTTGCTTTAATAATCAATAATTTGTCGTAAATTAACCTGAATAGAAATAGGCGAAGAAACAGGTTAAGAAGATGAATTGTATGTCACGTTAATTTACAACAAATTATTGATTGTTAAAGCAAAAGGGGAGTGCACGGAATATCTTAGAAATTTGTTTAATCGACTGCAAGTGTTACTTTATGAATATATATTTTTATTTTAATTTATTTCGCAAGAACTTTTAGCATGCATTTTCTCGCTTCTGACATCACTAAAAAGAGATAGACAGTGCGAGAGGCCAGGGGCCTTAAAAAATCCTTCCTTGAGAAAAAGAGAAAGGAGTTCGCCGAAAGTTCCTGCCGACAGTTTCCCGGGGAAACCCTCTTCAATATCGCTCGCGAATGTCAAAGGTGACGTGACAGATGGCGAGTACAAACTTAGCTCATATTCTGTCCCCGTAATAATGCTCGATTGGTTGAAATCGCAAATGCACGAGACTCTACCGGGGCCGCAATATTGAAGTTCGACTGCGTATAGAAGTATTTGACCTTCTTTACACTTGTCGAATAATTCATTTCTCGCGCTCGTGTGTTTCAACGCGGCAACGTTACAGTTCCTTGGAGACTTCGGATACGTATATTCTCGTCTGATATTCGCCACGTATACTCTAAGGAATAATCGTTGACATTAATGAGGGGAGCCACCGTGCCTCCCGCGAAATACCCGACGGAAAGAGCGGCGTAATTACAATGGAGGAAACGCGACTCTCTCGTATCAAGATGACTCGAAAATCAGCAGTTACGATCAATCGTGATAGCACGACGAGAACTCGAGGAAAAATCTCGAAACTCGTTTCTTGTTTTTCCTTGTAAGAAAAGTTAAGGTAGAGTTTAAGCCTGATCTACAATATGCTTTTGCGTCCTGTTTTTTATCTTCTGACTTTTTCTGGCTTAAAGCTTAAAGTTTGAGTCAGAAAGAGAAAAAGAGAAAGAAGCAGGAATAACACATGATAGATCAAGCTTAAGCCAGAAGAAGACAGAAGACAAGAAACAGAACACAAGTAGCATATTGTAGATCAGGCTTGAGACGCGGCGAATGCGAGGCATGAATTCGCGCGATTGACTCTTCCGTTACACACACACACACACACACACACACACACATATGCAGTTAAACTCTAATTGTTGCTCAGAGATGACTCACAGCCAATGATCCGCTTGCGGATGTCGTCGGGCCGATTGTTGATCTGAATCGTCGATCCATTGCTGTTGCTTATGGTCGCCATAGGTATGTCGGTGGGGTTAACGCGCGATTCGAACCTCGCCACCTAGAAGCGAACAAATTCGAAAAGATCCGTGAGAAAACGCGCCTTCCAGTACGTGGGCGAGAAGATGCCTCCGGTTTGAAGTCGTATCTACGCGCACAGGAGCGTCTCTTAAGCGTTGCTATCGATCAAAAAGGAGCGGGAAGAGAGAAGAAATAATACCGAATATCCCCGAGGATATTAATCCCTTTCAGCGTGACACTACCACGATCCCCGTTGCGATGTCAAGCGCTCGACTCTGAACGCATCTAACGCGTCCATCGTCATTAATACAAGATAACACATAGGTGGGCGCATCAGCGACACGCGATTACACTCTAGATCCGCGATAACGGGCGCACAATCTAATCGCACTTCTGTCCTTATCGCACTCGCGAATGCACTGTAGGGAGAAAGGGTGAAAGAGAGAGAGAGAGAGAGAGAGAGAGAGGGAGCGAAAGAGCGTCGAAGGGTGGTGGTTTTCGCGTCCTCGTTCGGCTCCCCTGCCTGGGCCGCGAATTCGCTCTCAGAGAGGTCGTCCACCCTTCTCGCCCACCCTTATTATTCACCCTTGGAATTCCGTAGCGGCCAATGGCCGACAGGGTCTCCCGTAATCTCGCGCTCCCGTAGTGCTCGCGACGATGATCGCGAGAGATCAGAGGCAGCCTCCGGAGGATCGCTCGACTAAACTGGACTCTCTCTCTCTCCCGCGTGCGTCAACACTACCCTCGCCCTTCCCGCCAGTTCCCACCTTGCGCCGCCGATGGTGTGCACCGTTCAGCAGGAGTAGTGACAGGACGAGTGAGAAGTTGTCGTCGCGGCGTCGCGACGCTTTATGGAACGGCCGGGCGCCGCCCTGTGTGGTGGTAGTGTGTGCACGCGGCTGTCCGTCCCGGCTGTGCACGAGCGTCGACGTGCATACACGAGCTATTTGCGGATATCGCGAGGCGACGGTGTCCGCGTACCGAAACGTGCGCTCTCTCTCTCTCTCTCTCGCGAGCCAATACGATCCTTCAGAAATTCACCCGCGGCCGAGAGATAAAAATATATCCACCGTTCTGTGGATCGCGATATGATCGATTTCTCCCTCTCCTTGCCTCTTCCCTCCCTCTCCTTTGGAAATTATGTTCAATTCTCCGTGACATTAAATGCACGTACTTGCGTTCCTGGGAAATAAAAGTCAGCTGCTTATGTAGAAACCAAAGTGCCACGTCACGGACTTGTCAGGGCATTAATCTCCGCATGAAATCCAACACGTTTCATTTTTGGGTTGATGCGTCTACAGGTGGCGTCGACACCTTCGGCGACGTGGACGTCGCCTGTCCAACGCAAAATCTGTGTTGGTTTTATCTTGTACGTGGGCTCGCGTTAGTTTGATTTCATCTTTGTGATAGACGATCGCTTCTGATCGTTGACGTTTACACAGCCGCTCAGAAGGGTAGCTTATCGATCGGAAAGTCGATATCTGGTTACTAAGAAATTGCTTAAAATAAATTACGTATGATATTGTTTTTTGCGTTGAAAAATTAACTGCATCCTACGAAAGAGTCAGGACAGTTTTATCGTTCCACAAACTGGGCTTGGTATTTGAATAAAATCAATAGTTTTCTTTTTTCTTCTTTTGTCAATATGTATTTCACGTTGATATCGCTTTTCATCGTTTATCATCGCCTCTCGATAATGTATCTAACGTTGAGAAGAGCCAAGTCGTTCTGCTTGACATAAAGTACGTATTTCGCGCGTATATATTTTGTGCACGATTCATCGGCGTTGAATAAAACACGTGAGAACGAGCACACTTGCACTGTGCAGCGGCGAACTCGTGCCTTCCTTCATACGTATATATCTACCAATAAAAACGGCGAGTCAAGGATACCGAACGGAAAGTACAAAGGGTCAGTAACCAACGTAAATGAAAGCGACGAGGACGAAGTGTGCTGCAGTCATAATCCCATTAGTTGGTTTATTTTCACGATTCCAATCGAAACAATGGCATGCCTGACAAACAGTCTGCTGTTGTACGCGTCGAATGTCGTCGACAGAGGCGTTTCGCGTACATACGAAAATCGGAAGTCTCCCGTTTCGGAATCGAGTATATATCTTACGAGCGTGTCCTTTTCTTCAACGGAATCTTAACGTGCGTGTAACGAGCGAATACTATGTACTGCTGTACCGCGTTGCGTCGTTCTCCTCCTCCTCCTCCTCCTCCTTGATAACAATGAACTCTCTCGTCGTGAGATTAACATTCTCAAATACTTTCACTTTGTTGGCGCGATAAAATATCATGCGATGTCATTATAATTGTACCTTCGAACAGAAACGACGGATCACAACAAACAGCTATCCGACTCGACCGCGTGTCGCAATCTTATATGTGTATATATATGTGTATATATATATATATTATACGTTATATGCATAAAAAGTGAAATATAAAAATGCACTGGTCTTGCGTCTGTTCCGTAATCTATTCTTGCCGACAGAGGTCGATGTCTTCCTTCCAATCATAGCTACCATCATAGTGTTCTTTCAACAGCTTCGCGTAATATCCGACTTTTACATGAACTTTCTATATATGTACTAGGCAAATTGTTTACGATGCAGAGAACGTGACGGATGATAAACACATACACTCGTCTGCGAAACAGTCTGAGAATTTCTTTGATAAAGTTAGGAGGAGCATCAGATACGAGCCATTCACGACCTTACGCGTTACTCCGTTAACCTGACAGAAGTGACGATACACAAGACATGCAACGTCACAGCTGCAAGGAGTACTCAAGGAAAACGGAAATATCTTTATTATGTTTTCATATTACAGATAAGAGTATAATAATAATAAAAGAGGCCAATAATCACGTCGTGTATCGTCGGCTTCAGTCACGATCGATTACCACGCGAGCACGTAAGCAATCGTGACTGTGGCACGAGCCTCTAATTTTATCTGCGTTCAAACCGTTCCGTAAACGAGTGTACAGGATACTGTTCATCGTTGCTGCTTGACACGATGAACAACCGCTGAGTTATCCCTTGATTGAGTTGCCTCTTGAGCGATACGAAGTCACTTCTTTTGTAGTCACACTGTAAAACTGACTCTGCCTTGCTTTTTTTTTTTTTTTACAATTCGCCGCGCTTAATCTTGTGACTAATACTTAGAAAGCGAGACCGGCTTCTGAGTAAGTGGTGAATATCTTCTCGATCGAGTTCGCGTATGCGGCCGTCCTCAGATCGAGACCAAGGTTGAATTTCATGGCAGTCTTCATAATGGCCTGCAATAAAAATAATACGAAACTATTTGTGTCCGGCTCTGTTTCGGTCTACAAAGTGTATCTTAAAATAAATTAGCTCAGTCAAGAAGCGTTTTCAGTCTCGGCGCCGTTTTCTATTTTCGACGGCAAACCGATTACCCTCTGTTTTTCCATCAGAACGTTGCTAGTGGAAACAGACAACCGCGGCGATTACGCGGTCAATGAGGGTAACTCATTTCGCAACGATCGAATTTGACACGAAAATCGATCTTTTTGACTGGTCCAACGTTATCGATCGGTCGATAATTACCCTGGCGGATCTCTCCATCGTGTAATCCAGACCGGAGTGGACGATGTCTTTCTCGGAAGCACCAGATATACGTTTCTGGAAGGCCTCAGACGGCGTAACAGGAATACGGCCACCGACGCGACCGAACCTGCGCTCCAAGGATTCCTGTACCGATTCTGCGAGCGTAAATCAATGTATTAATCGCATTATAATACGGAAATAATGCGCGTCTGCGATGCGAATTAAACGTATCTAGTCGTTGCACGACGAGTCTGACACGCACCTAAGAGATGGTGATTGGATTCTCTCTCATACTTGAATGTCAAACGGCCGTACGACACATGGTTCAAGTTCTTAAGCCACTCGAAGAACGAGACTGTAACACCACCGGCGTTAATATACAAGTCCGGAATTACGAGGATATTTCTGTCAATTAAAATCTTGTCGGCGGCGGGAGTTGTCGGTCCGTTGGCAGCCTCCGCGATGATCTTTGCCTGCGTGGAGAGTGCGATTCAGATTGCACGTTCTTGATTGCGGGTCGATATAACTCGTTATTATAATTGACTTGTCGAGTTGATTATTTATTAGTGCAAAATGCGATTCCTACCTGAATACGTCCAGCGTTTTCTTTGGTAATTACTTTCTCTATGGCAGCGGGTATAAATATATCACATGGTTCATACATAAGATTCTCGCCTTCGTATGGCTTGGCTCCGGGGAAGCCGACGATGGTGCCGTTCTCTATGCGATACTCTTCCAATTCCTGAAACACGGAGAAAGAATTTAGAAATGGATTGCAACAGAATATTATTATAGAATACTATAAACTACCAGTCTGAAGAGGAAAGATTGAAAAGGATATGGGATGGTAAGTTAGACAAAGAGAAAGAAAGGACTTTAACAAAGTTATGGAAGGTAAAAGCAAGGAGAAAGAATTGTGGGTCAATGAGAAATGTAAAGTCGTAAGAATAGGAAAAGGAAAAGAAAGAGTAAAAATAGGAAAGAAGTAAGAATAGGTAAGAATAGGTAACAGATTTAAAAAGAGAAGGATGACGGATGCCAAATAAGATGTGCAATGTAACTAGGTTATAGAGAAAGTATTTAATAGAGTAAAATTGAAAGCAGTTATGTTAGACATAAGAATAGAAGGTTAAGTGTTAAAGTAAAAAGTAAAGGTTAAAAGTTAAATGTGTAAGGATATAAAAATTAAGGCAAAGATGTAAAATAAGATAGTAATTAAGATAAGAGATAATGTAAGGGTAACTGTAGGGAGTAGGTGTGCGGATAAGTGAGATAGAAAAATTATAAGCCAAGTCCCTTTCTGGCAATGTAAGCTGAAGTAAATAAATATATATATATATAAACTACCAGTCGAATAATACTATAAACTGATAGATCAATACTATAATACTAAATAAATACTAAACATGTTGTCGTATTCGACATGGAAAGAAGGTAATCACGATAGAGTTAAGCTGAGATAAGTGCACGAGGGAATTACGAGGAATTACCTTCGGATCGATGCCCTCTGAGTTGTAAATGGATCCGTCGTGCTCGATTACACCAATACAGGCGGCACCAGCGCGATGCAAGTAACGCATGGAATGCAAACCTACGTTACCGAAACCTTGCACAATGAAAGTTTTGCCTCCCCAGCCTGGCGTGGTGCCTGCGAATTATTACGTGCATTAAATAGACACGCATATAATATACGACATATAATACATAATTATCGTACATATTCAAAGAGTTTGGTTTGATTTTCTGCCTTCTTCGACAGTGAATTTACGATTTACCATGACGATAAACGAATGCTGCCAGAACATAGATAATAGTGACTATTCACTTAATATAATTGGTCCATTGAATGTAAAAAAACTGAATTTGTAAAAACAAAAATTAAACCAAACTTTTTGATCGGTTACAATAAGGCCGATTTTTTAATAACAGTTTAAACTTGGACTCAAGTTTAAACTCTTCTACTAATGCGTTTGTTTTGTTTAAAGCTCCTGGCCTCTCACATTGTCTATCTTTTTTTAATGAGGTCAGAAGCGAGAAAATGCATGCTAAAAATTCTTACGAAATATTAAAATAAAAATATATATCTAAAATATATATAAAAAATATATATAAATATATATATATATATATATATATATATATATATATATATAAAGTAACATTTGCAATCGATTAAACAAATTTGTAAGATATTCTGTACACTCCTCTTTTGCTTTAACAATCAATTTTTCGTAAATTAATGTGACATGCAATTCATTTTCTTACCTATTTCTTCGCCTATTTCTATTCAAGTTAATTTACAATAAATTATTAATTGTTAGAGCAAAATGGGAGTGCACGAAATATCTTACAAATTTATTTAATTGATTGCAAGTGTTTCTTTACGGATATATGTTTTTATTTTAACGTATTTCGCAAGAATTTATAGCATACATTTTCTCGCTTTTGACGTCATTAAAGAGATAAACAAATATTTATTAGATAGATACTATTAACATATTTACTTAAGTCGAGATTCTCTTTACCAATCATGCGTACCAATCATGCTCATGTAGTTGGCTTCGTTAATGAAGTTTTCCAGACCATGGAACACGCCGCGTCCTGTCGCAGAGATGCGACCGTGAATGCCACCTTGATTGATGGGTTTGCCAGTGACGCAAGCATGAGCGTTAATGTCGAGATGGCCGATAGTCTTCGCATAAGTGTCGGCTATCCAAGACATTTCTCGTTCACCTGTGCCCATATCAGGTGCGGGAACATCGACACCAGGTCCTGAGGAGTGACAATGGAGCCTTTGAGAAATGTCGTACATAAGAGCGAACGTCGCATGTTATCCATCGTTAAAGGGGCGCGCTGTATACATATTTGTAAATAAATGACCGTTCTATCGAGCGAGGTAAATAATTCATAGTGTATGTTAATTCACCTGCGATCTTATATCGCGAGTGGACAGCGCTAATCTGTTTGCACATTTCCTGCGCCTTCTAATCTCACGTCGGTGCTTATCTGTCGTTATCTGTCTAAACGCTACCGTGATTCGCCTGCGACACTCGACACGGACGACGTTAGCGAATCTCGTTTTCTTGTTTTCGCGAACTCTTGAGCAAACAGAAACGCGTGAGAGACTCGCCACGTGCGTTTGCGCTCGCGGACTAATAAATTTGTATGACAGTCAATCGGGCCGTAAAATACAGCTGTTATCTGCCACGTGTTTGTTTGCGCTGTTGTGCGCGTGTGATGTAACCGATGGCGTAGACGGCCACGTCGATCGTACGAATTTCCTGCGCTGATAAACATTTCGCGAGCGCGCACACAGCCTAGGTAGGTGGTTCTCTCGCGTCCTCTCGGCGGCATCTAAAATTATCGCGCGAACGTCACGCCTCTCTCGCGCGCATCGCTCTGTCACACCCATTTGTACGATGATGTAACCGCAGAAGGAGATTATCTCCGTCGTAGTCGGTCGAGTCTTCTCAGCTTTTGTCGCCGCCCCTCCTCTTCCCTTCAGCTTTCGATACAAAAGCTCCTTACCGATGAAACCTTTCTTCGCCAATTCCAGTGTGAATCGCCTGGTGATCTTCTCCAGCTCGTGCTCGGAGTAGTTCTTAGGGTTGATCTTAATGCCTGCTTTCGCACCTCCAAAGGGCACATCGACGCACGCACACTTGAACGTCATCAAAGCTGACAGAGCCTTAACTTCGTCCCGTGACACGTCCATTGAGAAACGGATACCTGTAAACATGTGGCGATTAATTAACTAATTACTAATTGCAATTAACTAACTAAAATTAAACAATTAACTAATTAACTAATTATTATTCGCAAAATGCGAAAGTATATATTGTCAATCTTTCAACGTCTGGAATGACGATTGTCTTGTAAGCGAGAAAAGCCTTAGACGAAAAAATAAATATACAATAATATAATAATACAATAATTACTTGTAATTACATTGTAATTAAATTTTTTATATATTATTATTATTACTATTGTTTAATTATGTTCATACGCAGTTAATTTTATCATTTCCGCAGTTTCAGCTCCTTCTTTTTGGGAACTTTTCTCGCTGGTTGCATCACGACTTGTCAGACACTTAGTGTAATTCGGAAGAATAAATGTGTCGTCATTATGACGCGTATGTGAATTTGTCGTCGCATAATCTTAACGTCTCGGCGAGTTAGAATACGCGGCACGCTTTTGTCTTCATTCATTATCGCGAAATCGGTCTGCAAAGCGAGAAGCTTATAAAAGAGGTCTAAAAATAATTCCATCTATCGCTCCACGAGCGCCTTTCAACCCACACAAACACGAATACACGTGCACGTCCGCAGCCATACGATATTTGCCCTCCGATTTTCGTTTCGTGTCTAAATTTTCACGAGGCACGTCCGCTGGTTAACGGGGTTTCCTTAGCGACACTCGAAACTCGCCCACCACGTGACGTCGTATTTTTGCTACCTTGTGTAACAGCGGAGAAGTAGACGCACAAATATGCGATCTCCTCGTGGTACCCATTACCTAATCCAACACAACAATCGTAACTTTACCCAGCTGCAAATTTTGCACGTCGCTTTCCCAGATTGCACAGAGAATTCAAAAAGAATTCAGTCGTGTGTCACCAATTCTGAGTTCATTTTCAAATGCAAAAAGAAATCTTTTTGTATCTGAAAATGAACTCAGAATTAGTGACATGTGTGACTGAATTCTTTTTGAATTCTCTGTGCTATCTGGGTTTCCACAGATCATCTCTGCAGTCGCAAATGGACATTTCTACACAGCTAAACGCAGATATCCGCGGACAAATACGCACAGATCAACGATCTATATTTTAATTATCCGATATCTACCTAGAAATTTACACTGAGAGAGAAAAAATACCCGAAAAATTACATTACTTGGCCGGTACTAATAACAAATTTATATGAATCTAAATTTTTTTTATTTAAATAGAACAAACAACTGCTTTCATGAGAAGCTAAGATTTTTTTAAGATTTCCTTAAGAGGATGCTGGAGTCGATGACAAACTCGAGTAATGTCGCAGAGACGATCGTCACTAACATAATCACGCCTTTTCCTATTTCTTGTACATATATAAACAATATTTGGTTTAAATAAAGAGAATTTAGATTTAAAGAAATATGTTAATTAAATAAATATGTTTAGATTTAAATAAATATGCAAGCCCACCAAAGAAATATTTATTGGTTTTAAGATAATTTTCCCCTCAGTGCACGAGTGCATTCCGATGCGAAGCCGTTCGCGACTCGTGGCATTTCTGAAGAATCCCGAAAAGTTAAGGGAACTCGTCCAGTGAGGATTGTTGACTCGAAATGTCATATCATTGTCATTAAACGCGACTGCGACAGATTCCCGACTTAAGCCCAGTTCCACAACCTCCGTTTAACTTTAACTACCGGTTAAGTCTCAACAGTGATTGGTTAATTCTGATTAACTCTTCTTAACACTAAATGCGATTGGTCAAGTCCACTGGAATAGTCAGTTAACTAGAGGTTGTGGAACTGGGCCTTATTCTCGGCCGCTCGCTCATAGTTTGGCGCGCGCGAATGAAAAGCTCAGACGGCTCGGTGGCGCTCATCACGAGTTTTTAATTGTGTCGCCGAATCGTAATATCATTAATCGCCGGCTTTCGCACCCGGCCAAATTCCAACAGCTACAAAGCTACATATATGTTTCGAATACTTGTCCCACATTGTTTAGTTCCAACTCAAACCGACATCGCGATAAGCGGCTAAGAGGAACTTATCGCGCGATTAATTGATTCAATTAATCAGCTGCGCGACGCAAGATACGTGGGCTGTCTTTTTCCTCTTCACATCCCGCGATAAATGTTGGTATTTTTCATTAATGAGACTCGATCTAGTTTCGTTGTTTTCACACGGGAAAAGGGAGAGATGTAACGTCGCCCTATTGAAATTATTTCGGCGCGCGTCTCCTTGCTCGCCTTTACTGCGAGTCTCTGGGCGAGCACAATTTTCACATCGAACGCGTGCACATCTGACCTTCATCGGACAAGGTTAAAGTCGTAATCGCCGAAGCCGCAAAACTCGAGGACGTGTCGGGCGTTTAGCGTGCACAACCTGATAACAGAACGCAACCTGATAACTGAACGCACAAATACCGATGGCTCGGTGATTAATCGAAACTTTTTCGCAACTCCTTGCAACATCCGATTATTGACGAGAAACCGAAGGCCCGATAAAGGCTCGACACTTGTCCTTCGCGATGAGACTTGCATCCACTGCGTAAATCGTGCGCGAACGACGATACAATCTTTTTTTACGTCGGATAATGAAAAGAGAAGAAGGGAAATGCGACTCGACATTTCGGCTCACACGAATATCGATCGTGTTGTTTGAATATGTGTACTTGTGGCATGTAAAATTCCTCACAGTTAGGACACCGTCCGCCATTTGTAGGAAGGATATGTGTGAGTGAGAGAGAAGGCGCGCGCTTCGTCATTTGAGCGCCTCTCTCTTTCACTCTCACCACGTCATTCCTAAAAATTGCGAACAGGATGCGGACTGAACAAGAATCATCGTACTTTGTCCTAACGATAACTAGAGGAATTTTAGTCGCGCGATTTTATCGGGTCCGTCAAAATTTTAATGTCACTTTTGACTTGAACTTTTTCTTTCTAATATCTGTCTATTCTGAAGGATCAGTGTGTATTTAATATACCCCGGGAAAAAAGATTATATATAATATATTATATAATTATATATAAATATATATAATCATATAATTTATTTATTAATTATAAATAATATATTATATAATATATTATATTATATATAATATATTATATAATTATATAAATATATAATATAAAGAAAAAGAAAAAGGATAAAGTGAAAAGGGGTAAAGGAAAGAATAAAGAGAGAGGAGAATTTAATGTGATATAGATATAGAAAGTATGGAAGAATGGAAAGGATGAAAGAATGGAGGATGTGTGGAATGTGTGAGGTAGTTGTTTAATGTAAACCAAGTCCCCTTCTTGGCTATTTAATGTATATAGCTGAATGGTAATAAATTATTATTATTATAAATATATAATATATTATATAATTATATAAATATATATGATTATATATGAGTTTTGTCCATATATGTGACCTTATATATGATCATTCAATTATATATGTCCATATATAAAACGAAAATTGTCAAATGAGAAAAGGAAAATATAATTTGATTTGATTAAACGTCGATATCATGAGCTACCATAAACATAAGCATTTATTTTAATTGTATCTTCACAATAGTATTCTTTTCAATGTCGACATATGTAATTATATATGATCATATATAACCATGTATGGATAAAATTTATATATAAACTTTTTTTTCCCGGGACATGGAAACTGAAGTCTTACTTGGCGCCTTTAAATGGCAGGAAACATACGAAATTATTCTAGATAGAAGCCTCTTGGTAAAGCTGATAGGTAAAGCAGAATCAAAAGGACTTGAGAGAGATGTACACTTAAGATTCCTGACCTCTCCCATTGTTTATGTCTTTTTAATCACTTTTTAATCTCTTTTTAAATTTGTCGTAAATTAACGTGACATACAATTCATCTTCTTAACCCATTTCTTCGCCTATTTCTATTCAGGTTAATTTACAATAAATTATTGATTGTTAGAGCACAAAAGGAGAGTATACGGAATATCTTACAAATTTGTTTAATCGATTGCAAGTGTTACTTTATGAATATATATTTTTATTTCAACGTATTTTATAAGAATTTTTAGCATGCATTTTCTCGCTTCTGACATCATTAAAAAAAGATAGACAATGCGAGGGGCCAGGAGTCTTAAAAATTGCTATTCTTATTCTTAGAAAAATCCTCTAAAATAGACACCAAGTATAGAATATTACAAACATAAGATTTATTCCTTTTGTTTTGAGGGGAAATTCTCCTCTTGTGCAGAAATATTTTGCACCTACCTATTTTAGAGGATTTTTCTAAGAACATCAATTTTTCAATTAATTTAAGAATATACATTTTTTAGTATAGACTTCAGAGTCAAAATAAACATTAAATGGAATATTGAGGTAGAGAGCAGGATCAAAATTTCGACTGGGGCGTTTCGTGATGTAAAATGTGCGCATGACAATTCGGATGATGTTTCGAGTATGCAGTCACGTGCGTGAAAATAGCGCGTCTCTTATCACTGTCGGCACAAAGATAATTTTCCTTATCAGCCGGTCAGTCGATTATTACGACACACTACCTATCTTTGAAGAAGTCTCGCCGGCAGCATCCTTGAGTCGAGAGGATGCAAAGTAAAATTCGCGCACGACGACACGACGAATATTCTCACGGAGGAGAAATAACGTTCCCGGATCTCGCCGAAGCTGCGGAAGCAAATTTTGCGCAGTGTCCGCTATAAATTGCGGCTTGCTAATTGAGAATGTAGCTGACAGAGACTGCTGACAGAGTAAACTGGCAGATCAATGGCAAGAACCGCGGACAGGATCTGCCGTTTCCCGAGCACTCGAATGCATTCCAGTGGAATTAGCACGAGAAACTCTGAGGTCGGTTTCTGCAATAACAAAGCTACGCGGCGGAATACGGGCTAATTGTGAGCGCAATTAGTGCCGCAAAATGCGTCGTTCGTCCGCTGTCATATCGCTAACACTTCATTTGTTCATTCATCGTGTTGTCCATGAATCTATTTAATATTTCATTAAATGTTTAGTTTATGATTTTACGAGTATATATCGGATAAATTTGATACAACTTACAGTTAAATCATATCCGTATATTAGATATTTAATGAACGTAGTGCATGAAATAAGATCCCCAGTCGATGGGATCGAAAGGTCGAGGTGTCGAAGGGATGACGAGTGACTTTCGGCAGGTAGAAAATCGCGCACGCTTGAAAATCGTGATCGACGAGGGACGGACAAAGGATCAAAACAACGAAGAGTCGTACCTCCTTTGCACGGTGTTCGATGGGTCGAATGCTGGGCGCGATAGCCGGTGATCATCTCGTAGTCGCCGGAGTCACGTCTCAGCGGGAACGTGGTCTCGAGAATGTGATCGCACGGCTCCATCAGCATCAGGATACCCTTGACCTTCTTCTTGCGCTCCTCCACGGTGAGCCGCGATCGCTTGCCCACATCCTCGACCAGCTTCTCCTCGACGATCTGGCAGGCGCGATGGAAGAAGTACTCCACCATGTCGAAGAACTTGGGATTCGGCGCGGTGGGCACGTCCGCCAGCCGGTCCGGGATCTGGTGGTCGGCGTAGCCGCGGGAGCTCGTCTGCACGGCAGCCGGGAGGACGCGCGCCAGCATGCCTCGCAGAACGTCGTTGCACGGCGCCTGCTTCAGGGCGGTCGAGGAACGCGCGAGGCCTCGGACGTGGAACATTTTCGGGCGACGACGACGGCGACGAGAGGGAGAAGAAGGACGTGGACGAGGACGATGACGATGACAGTCACGACGACGTTCGATCCGAAGATCCGTGCGGCTCCGATCGCGACGACACTAACTCAACACAATCCGTCGGCCGACTGCGTCCGATTACCCGCGACTCTTCGCGACGGGAACGTGCGATGCGCGTCGATGCTTCGACTCTCTCGTCTGCGAGAGTGTCTATCGATAGTTGTCGTCGGTTCGACTGTCCGCCAGGTCGATAGTCCCGATTCGATACCATCGATTTCCCTCTCTGAGGGCCGGTAGTTTTAATTTCTTGCTAAGTTAAGGCTTCTGCCCCTCGCATTGTCTATCTCTTTTTAACGTCAGAAGCGAGAAAATGCACAAATAATTTATCGCAAATTAACCTGACTAGAAATAGGCGAAGAAATAGGTTAGGAAGATGAATTGTGTGTCACGTTAATTTATGACAAATTATTGATTGTTAGAGCAAAAGAGGAGTGCGCGGAATATGTTATAAATTTGTTTAATGGGCGGTTTTATTTATCATAAAATAAATGCATTAGCAGTTATTTTATGATAAATGTCTTTTGATAATCATTAATTTCTTATTCATAGAATTTATAAGTACTGTGTGCTTAATAGTATTCATAATTGTTGTCGACTTAAAATTTAAGTTTGTGTTAATAATAATAACACTTTTATTAGTACAGAAAAAAAGATTAATATTATAGAGCATGCAAAAAGAAGAAGAAAACCATCGATGAGACAACAGCTGCAAGTATTGATTTACTTGAGTGCAAGAAAATTTTAGTCTAGAAAAACAAATTGTCATTATTTGAAACTTATCTCACATAAGGTTTAATCGATTGCAAGTGTTACTTTATGGATATATATTTTTATTTTAAGGTATTTTTACGTCTTTTTATTTTCACGTATTTCGGAAGAATTTTTAGCATGCATTTTCTCGCTTCTGACGTCATTAAAAAAAGATAGACAATGCGAGGGGCCAGGAGCCTTAAAAATTGCTCTTCTTATTCTTAGAAAAATCCTCTAAAATAGATACCAAGTGTAAAATATTCCAAATATAAGATTTATTCCTTCTGTTTTGAGAGGAAATTCTCTTCTTGTGCAGAGATATTTTACACCTACCTATTTTAGGGGATTTTTCTAAGAACATCAATTTTTTAATCAATTTAAGAATTCGATCAATCTATCTAAGAATTCTTGCGAAATACGTTGAAATAAAAATATATATCCATAAAGTAACACTTGCAATCGATTAAACAAATTTGTTTAATCAATTGCAAGTGTCATTTTATGGGTATATATTTTTAATTAAATAGAACATTCAACTTACGTGTCCATTTCAGAAGACGTATGGAGGATTTAATCGCTACCTTGGACAAGAAAATGGATACTCATAGAAAGGGACTTGAGAAGATACAGCAGAAAATGGATACTCATAGAAAGGGACTTGAGAAGATACAGCAGACATTTCAGCAAGCTCAGATGAAAGCGTCGCTTTCCCAACAGAAAGCATGACATCACAGTCGCAATAGCTTTGTGAGATTATATTCAATCGTGTAATTAACATTTAAATGTCAACATACTTGTTGAAATGTAATTAACGTTTAAAGTCAACAACGTCCCTCGCTATATGAGCAATGTAAATTTTCTGTTTTATTTATTTTATACTACGCAATGTTTATTAATAATGAGTTACCCAGCTATATGTGTCACAATAACTCAAACGCAATTTATTTAAATTGAATCTATTTAAGTTTGTTTTAATAACAACACTTTTATTAGTACAGAAAAAAAGATTAATATTATAGAGTATGCAAAAAGAAAAAGAAAACCATTGATGAGACAACAGCTGCAACACTGAAACTGCAAGTGTTGATTTACTTGAGTGCAAGAAGATTTTAATCTAGAAAAACAAATTGTCATTATTTGAAACTTATCTCACATAAGGTTTTCAGATCTAATCTAAAGTTAGATTTCAATTGTTTATTTGAATCATAAAATATGTAACATGTATATATTGATATACTGAAAAACTGACATCTAACTCTAAATATAAATCTAAGACCTTTGTACATTAATAGTTGTTATCTGAAACAATGCTTCATATGAGATATACAGATTTTTATTTAGAGTTAAATCAAAGTACTTCAGTTCAATTATGATTCATATGACATTTATATCTGGAATCGTAATTCGTCTAAAAATCTAACTCAGAATTCATCTGAGTATTTCAGTTAAGATGAGTTTCAAGTAATAACTATTAATACAATCCTATAAGGCTACTATTGAATTTTATTGGGTCTACTCATACTGCAACCACTCAATGAGCTTTTGAATCTGGTCGATATACTTTTAGATTTCATCAAAATTTAAATACAAACCACAAGCTACAAATTAGAATTAGCAGTTGTAGCACTGGATACATTTATAATTATAATTAGTCATAAAATTTTTTGTTGAAAATGAATGGAGCAAATAACATCCAGTCTATTTTTTTTGTTACGATATTTTTTGATGCAATAAGATGCTGGCATTTTACGACAGTAATTTAATGGCCACGTTGACTCACATTGTACGTTTAGTACTCACATTAGTACTCACATAAGTGGCACGTCACACACACAGGACCACCGCCATTTTCTCGCATACAACCGGAAACCTCATGCGACGCAAGTTCGAAGCCTCAGTTAGCAATCTAGTTTAGTATAGACATCTGTGTTTGACAGATACACACGCATGTATCAAAACGACTCCGCAAAATTCATGGACTTGCTACTTCAACAATGTCATTAATCCGTAGAAATTAAAATTGTTACTTAGAGATTTTTGTTAATACCATCATTTTCCCATCTAGTTTTCGGGAAAATGTCGTGTAACCGTTCCAAAGTCTCCGCTACGAGCCGCCACTTTCTTTGACGAGGAACTGAGGTAGTAAAATTGTAAGATAACAACTTTTGTACCTGATAAGGAAGAAAGAGACTGTATGGTTCTCTAATAGGACCTTAACTTAGTTTCCGCCCAAAAAATACTGAGAAAAAGCATTTATTGTAAAAAATTTATTTAAATTATTTCAATGAAAATATTTTCCATCACTTTCTACAACTTTTTGCCATCTTTCTGGCAACTGGGCGATACCATCTCGATAAAACGATGTTTGTTTCGAAGCAATCCATTCGTCCACCCATTCTCGCACTTCTTCAACATTTCGGAAGCGTGTACCACTCAAGCCGTGCTGCATCGATCTGAACAAGTGGTAATCAGAAGGCGCTATGTCTGGTGAGTACGCTGGGTGAGGAAGAGTTTCCCATT